TCAATATAAGTTCAGGCTTGAGGAGCAGTTTCTTTTTGTTTTGCTTCCTTTTCTCTCTGTCTCTCTCTCTCTTTTTTTGGTCCAAAGCTGTAGTTGAGTACCTTCTCTTATCTTTGTTCTCTTTAATCTTCTGACCTTCTGATTTGTCAGAAATTTTCTTGCATCATCTGTTACAGACATTAATCACTCGATGTCCTAAAATTTATGGAATCTTTTGTGAGTAGCTTACCTCCTCTTCTGCACTTTTCTCTCTTGTAATTCATTGTCTTTTTCAGAACTTCAATGTCACTTATATTATAGAATATCAATTGTTTCCTCAATTAGCTCATGAATGTAAGAAGGGGAGCTTAATCATTTTTCTATCTATAACCACTGTCCTAATTTTGGCCACTAAATTTTTAATGGCTCCTTTGTTTTGTTTATTAATTTATTTACTTTTTAGTACTGGGAATTGAACTTAGGACCTTGCATTTGTCAGGCAGTCATTACGCTGCTGAGCTATATCCACGGCCCTTGGCTTCTAACATTCTAAGTGCCCAATGGCAGTGTAATCTATCTTTGGAAATCTTTCTGAAACTTTTATATTATTTTTAAAAATTGTATTTATTTTTTGTATTTTTGAGACAGGCTCTCACTGCGTAGTTCATTCAGGCTGGCCTTGAGCTCATTTTGTATCCCAGACTGGTTCTGAACTTGGAAAGATCCTTCTCCCTCAATCTCCTGAGGCATGTGCCACCATGGCCTGGCTTCCATTGTTTTAGATAACATTCCTAACATCACTCCTGCATCAAAAGAAGAAAATGTTTTTTTCCAAAATTAGGATTTCCCAAGTGACCCAAAGCAAAGCAGTGTTCATAATGAAGTCATGAAGCCCAATCATTCTTCATTCCCTGAGCACATTTCTTTCTTTAAAAAACATAAATCTTTAAAAAGAGAAATAACTAGTTATTACACTCAATTTATTATTCATTGCTCATAAATATTTGAATTGAATCTTTCCAGATGAAATATGATAATAAAATATGCAATTCAAAGCTTTGCTTTCTGGTAGAATAATTGACTTCAGAACTTTGTACTTTCAAGTGTATTTTTTCCACTAAATTCCAGAATGAATGAATTGAGTTTGTACCTTACACTGGTGAATATCCATTCCTTTGAAATGGAAAGCAATATTCACTTAGCTAGTCTCCCTAGATGACCAGCAGTTTCTGTCTCCAATTGTATTTTATGGTAGAATAGTATTATAAAACTATTACTGCATTGGTGAGTATACAAATCAGTTCAATTTGAAACTTATAGCAAGAATCTTAATTACATTTTCATATTTACCCTCAACATTTTATCCTGAGGAATTTGTTTTACAGGAAAAGGAGAAGTCTACATACATAATTGAACTCACAAGGTGTTTTCCACCCTGTGTGTTGTGTTGTTGTTGTTGTTTGATTTGAGTCTGACCATATAGTTCAGGGTGACTTCAAACTCACTATGTAGCCCAGAGACTGGGCTTGAACTCATGACCTTTCTGCCTCAGCTGCCAGAGTTCTGGAGTTACATGTGGGGGCACAGGTGCTGGAATCCCAGGCTTTATGTATGCTAAGCAAGCAGTCTACCACTGAGCTGCATTCCCAGCCCTATATTTTTTTTTTTAACACATTAGGACTGTGCATAAACATTAGGACTGTGCATAACTATAGTAATTATGTATTTTTTCTTCTGCTGCTTCTGTTTCTTCCTTTTCTTCTCCTTTTTAGATATTTTGAGACAAGTTCTTGCTATGTAGTTCAGGCTGGCCTTGAATTCACTATGTAGCCCAGGCTAGTCTCAGCTTAGTAATTTTCTTGCCTCAGTCTGAGTGTTGGCGCTATGGCAAACAGAAACTCTAAAATGATACCCAGTATTTGGAGGCAGATTTATTTTATGTCAATGGACACTAATTGGGATCATTTCCAAAATATCAGTCCCTGATCTCTGATGCTCTAAGACTTTTATACGGTACATAAGCAGGAGGTACAAAGGTGAGACACAATAGCCTGGCAGTTCTTCTGATTAGTTAGTAGGATAAGATCCTTGGTTAGAAGACTAGATTAATGATCATCAATTACAATCAGACATCCTGCATGTGAGGTTATACTCTCAAGGTAATAGGAGTCAAGAAAGTAGTTACAGAGCCATGAAACAATTACAGAGCTAGGCAGTGTCAAAAGAACAAAGTTTAAAAAAAAAACTTCTCTTGTATGATTTTTCCCTTTCACTGGTGTGCACCACTACATCAGTCTTCTAATTTTATATTTCTATTGTTGGTTAATTAATTTACAAAACACTTTATTTATGAGAAGTAAAATTGTCTCAAATTTAAGAAAAAAGCCTAATATGGGGATGCATGCTTTATAATCCCAGCATTCAGGAGGCTGAGGTAGGAGGATCACTGAGTTTGAGGCCAGCCTGGGCTACACAGTGAGTTCTAGGCCAGCCTGAACTGCATGGTGAAACCATGGAGAGAGAGAGAGAGAGAGAGAGAGAGAGAGAGAGAGAGAGAAGAAAAAGTAGAGCTGCACATAGTTATAAGATGTATTTTATTTTTAAGAAAATATTTTGAGCAATTTTCAGATAGAACGTTATTATTATATGAGGAAAAATCAAATATTTGTTCTTCTGTTACTCAGCAATTAACACAGGATACTTTTGTACCTGAAAAGGTATAGGAGGTTTTTAGCTCATACCAAGAAAGTAATCTGTTCTCCATATTCTGTAACTGGCAACAGTTGTGTATCCTCTAATTCAATTAATTACGGCACTGGATACCTGGAGGTAGCATTAAATCCCAAAGATGGTTCCTTTTCCCCTACTTCAGATGTTAACTCTGCTCTTTTTTCTTTTTTCTTTTTTTGGTACCAGGAATTGAACTCATGATCTCATACTTGCCAGATAGACACTAAAAGAGTTTTCGGTGCGATTAAAGAGAGAATATAAAGTAAAAATCGCCTTTATTCCCAGGACAGGGAGAGAACTCCATGACCACCAGTGGCCTGACCTTCTCTGCTGGGACGTGGGGTATGGGATCTGTGTATAATCTCTGACCAGGGGCTGCACTTAGGGTGGACACTGATGAGGCAAGGAGCTGATTGGAGGTTTCTTCGCTTGCAAACAGGAAGGTGAGTTGCAATTAAGGCTGAGGAAGAAGCAGGAAGTGGTAAGCAGTCCTGCTTTGGCCTTCCGCCATGTTAGACCACTGCCATAACTGTACAGGAATTTATTCTAGGGCAAGAACCTTTCAGATACCATGGTGCTGAGCTGTACCCCTGGTTGTAGTGCTTTTGACTGAATAGCAATAAAGCAAATTTCTATTATATTCTCTTCATTTGATTAATTTTTCAGGTGGGTATGGTGGTGACTGCCTGTATTCCTAGCACTGGGGAGTCTGAGAAGGAACATCATCACTTCTAATTCTGCTACTGTGAGTGATGGGGCCTCAGGTGAGTCTAAGATCTTGTGCACAAGGATTGAAGAATTGAACATGGCAAATGAGGGTAAGAAACAAGCAGCAAAGTTTAATGAAGTTTAATTAGGCATGATAAGGGAGGAGATTAGGGCAGAGCAAAACTGGCTAGGGAAGTGAGCATGACCTGTTAATTACAACATCCTAGACACATGTGCAAAAGAGGTCCTAAAACCCTACACATGAATTTCTTGTGAGAAATCAAGCAGGTTTTTAATAGGATGGTCTAGACCTGATGTCAGCCTGAGATGTGGGTTCCTAGCATCCCCTCTCAGTGTATCAGGCAGCTGACTGAGCCAGTTAAAAATGTTATAGGCAGTCAGACAGGGCTAGGCCCTTGAGGAAGCTTCACAGAAGACCAGATATCTGATGACCTTGGAGGGGACACACACCTCTTGCTGTGGGCCAGATCTCAAGACAGAAGGCAAAACAAATGCAACCACACCCTTAAGTATAATCCTTAGGTATTAAATTCGAGTCACCTTGAAGTCAGGAGTCACGCCTCCAACCCCTAGGGAAGAGTCACTGCTCTCTAAGAATGCCCACTTCCTACATGACTTGCTTTCCCATTTGTCCCTAATATAATCAATTTTACCTGAACTATTGATTTTATTGGCTAATTATAGTTATGTCCCACCTTATGTGCATCTGCCTTCTGAGTTCCCAGTTCCCCCACCCCACCTCCTGCCCCCCATGGTTTTACTCTATAAAAGTCCCTGAAAAAGGCAAAGTCCTTGGTAACCCACTCAGGACCCCTTCTGTCTCTCTTCAGACAGAAGTTTTCTTTCCCTCAATAAGTTTATTCTACCCTTCACCTCCATTGTTCCTAAATTCATTCTTTGGTTTTAGAGTACAGGAACTCGTGGAAATAGTAGGTCAGGAGTCTCATTTCCCTGTATGATCAGGACCTAATATGTCGATGTTCTTATGGGTTTCCTTGAGTTTTGAACATCATAAAAGATGCAGACAGAAACTGTGTTCCTGTGACTTTCTTCATGGTAGCCAGCCCTGCACCCTCCAGGGTGTCCTTTTACTGCTTTTTCTTTTTTGACAGAGCCAAAACTTGTTCTACAGAGTCAGTTTCTCCCCCACTCTTCACTTTTACTCTCTCAAATAAGCTTGACCACTGCTTTTCTTTTTCTTTTTTATGTACTTTGTTCAATTTTTGTTAGCGACAAGAAGAACCTAGAATCTAACTCAAGATGGAGAGGCAAGGAACCCAGAACCCAGTAAGGTTTGTTTGGTGAGATACATTTTTTTTTGTCTTTTTGAGATCCTGTGCAGTTTAGACTGGCCTTGGGCTCACTTTGTAGCCCACACTGGTCTCAAATTTGCAATGACCCTCCTACCTATGTCTCCTGAGTGCCTGGATTACAAGTGTGTACCACACACCTGGATCTAGTGAGACACTTGAAAGAGCTTCCAAATAATATTTTGGCATAGCCAGAAGATTTCAACAATGGTTCAGTGATCAGCCTTATTCTGGCAGGAAAGAAAGTGACATAAACGCTGAATGGGTTGGGTTTAAGAATTTTAAACATTGTACCCAGTTAGGGCACCATATGTCTGGTCTTGCAGAGCATGATTGACTTATGTGACTGACACAGTCAGTGGCAGCTGAGTCACGGTAACTGTGTTTACTGTGCATGTCCTTTGTCATAGTTCCCTCTGTTACAACTGGATATATGAGATACAGTCAGTATACAGGAACCTTCATTGAGCTCCCAGTGAGGAAAGGTTACTGTTGGTCATACTGATATAGGAGAAATACTACTCCCAAATGCCTAGATGTCCGACATGCTGAGTTCATGGCCCTGAACTTGAAGAATGATTTCAAATGGACAAAGGAGATTAAGAGTAGAAAAGGTTTATTGGGAAATAGGAATAGTTCCTGAGAAACAAAAGGGGTCCCAAGTGGGCTGTCACTGAGACACTTTGTCAGTAGTAATTTATACCGCTAAAGTTGTAATGTGAGTCAAACTACAATCAACCTTGAGGATTACAAGTGTAACTGTTCAGCTAATATTGATCCAACAGGGAACTGGGGCACATAGCAATGGTATATGACTGACATCATTAACCTTGGCTTATCTATGACTTCTAAAACAGGAATATTTGGGGAAAGGATGGGTCCAGGTATGCAGATCAGCTTTCCAGGTATGTGATGCATATCTGGATTTAGTGGACTGGGTGGTGATAGAGTTATTTCCAAAAGATGAAAAATATTAACAAAAGATGAGAAATATAAAATAAAAAGTGGCCTTTATTCTGAGAACACGGAGAGAGATGACCGGCACCCCACCGCTGGCGTCCGGCGATCTCTCTAGCGGACACGCGGCGTGGGGGCCTGTAAATAGCCTCGGTTTGGGGTGGAACCTAAGGCAGGCATTAGGGATACACAGGTAGCCCATTGGTCCTAGGTTTGGCGCCATATGTAAATTCCCAGGGGTGGGAAGATGGCGTCACAGGTAACTTCCTAGGGGCAGGGCAAGATGGGGCTTCCTGCTTCCGGTTGTGGCTTTCCTGGCTACAGTGTCCTGTCTGGGCCAAAACCTTTCAGGTGGTACCAATGATAGTATGATCTCAATTTCCACTCATTCTTTAGGGAACTATGCAAGTCTGGCTACTGTGACTTTATCTTCAGGTTTTGCCTTCTTTAGATGCACCTCCAGGCAGTTTTGATGTGCTTTCATCTTTTGTATTGACTTCCACCAGGGCCTTTCCCTGTCTGCCTATTAATTTCTACCTAATTTAGTTGCCTATGATAATCAGAAATGTTTCAGGCTCATGAGTCTTGCTGTGTAATATTGGAATTTTTCAGGGTAGGTTCAGGGGTTTTTGTATTTCTTATTTCTTCCTCCGGACAGTAGGCCTTAGAACAAAGTTGGGAGTGGAGTTGGTCCTGAGGCATTGCCCAGTTTCAAGTGAGTGAAGGAAAATAATTTCATAACCTCAATTGTACTATCTATATTAGCATCCTGGGCTACAAAATAACTTCAAGCCTGCTCTGAACTATATAGTGAAATCCTGTTTCAAAAAAAATTTTGTTTTTCAGCCAACCCAGCAAAACATTTTGTTTACTTTAACTCACTTATCATAAAAGATATTACACAGGATATGGTTGAACAACCAGATGGAATAGATGCATAAGGCTAAGACTATGGAAATAAACAAGCAACTCCCATGCTATCTCATGGCACACAGCCTTACAGGAATCTTCACATCATCAGTTACCCTGAAGTCACTGGAGTCTCAGCCTTTTGGGGTTTATTGGAAGATTCAAGATGTGGGCATGATTGGCTCAATCATAAGTTATTATTGATCAACTTAACCTTTTGGCCTTCTCTATCTCAGCAGGTGGGGTTGAGGCTGAAGGTCTCTAATTGTGCCTTGATCTTTCTAGTGACCACCCAGATACCACCCTGAAGCTAACTAAGAACCATCAGCCACTGCTCTTATCATCAGCATATAAAATAGACTTTCATTACTCTAGGGATTCCAAAGTTTTTTTGCATCTGTGCATCAGCAATAATAAGACCAAACATACCTACTTTGAAACATCACAATTTTGATGAGATTAAGGGCCTCTTTAAACTGGAACTCTGGAAAATTGAGTGTTATCAGATTTGGGACAATCAGAGACTACTGTGGCCAGGTCAAAACCATCCTTTGTATCTCTCAGTCCTCAAGCTGATATCAGATTTAGGCCATCCTATCAAAAACTTGCTTGATCTCACACCAGAAGAACTGAAGATAGCATTTTCTGATTTGCCCCAGGAGCAGCCCTTGGGAACTGGTTTTCTGTACATACATTGTGGATCTCCATGATTGACAAGTCATCCAGCCAGTTGGCCACACTCTAATCTACTGCCTCAATTAGTGGTTCAAAGCATACCAACATGGGTGAAAATTCAAGAACTAATAGCACAAAATCACATCATCTTTCAGGTTGCTGGGAAATGACTTCATTTGCCAACAAACAAATGGGAAAGAATGAAGAATTTTTCATGTTTTCCTTGGTGAGAACTGACCATTATGTCATTAGGGAATAGGTCTTTCTTACTAAAGGATTCTAGATTATAAATATAGAATGAATAAAGTCACAATATTAGCACACATCATGAACGAGCTAAATCATTACTAAATATACTGACGTATTTGTGTCTTCCATAATATCAAGACTTTTTTTTTGAGGCAGAGTCTCACTGTGTAATACAGGTTGGCCTTGAACTCACTTATGTATCTCAGGCTGGCCTCAAACTCAGTGATCCTTCTGCCTCAGCCTGCCAAGTGCTGCACCACCACACCTGGCTAGGATTTATTGACTATTAATGAATACACAATCATTGGTATCATTTCACTGGGTACTATAGATTTTACTTAGTAATCATTACTCAGGCAACTACAAGCTATTATTTTCTAATCTTAGAGATATTTACAACACTCAGTTCACACAGTACACTTCAAACTGTTGTATTAGGATACAGAAAGTTGGAAAAGAGAAAATGGAATTAAAGGACTATAAAATTAGAGGTAATTCAAAGTTAATACAATTACAAGAGGTAAGGTATTATATAATGGGACCAATCATGAGGGTATGAAAATGAAGGGTCCAAATAGTTGCTCCAAAGTAGGATGCATCCAGTATGGTGGCACACACCTGTAGTTTCAGCACTCAAAAGGTGCTGAGTTTGAGGCAAGCCAGGGCTTCAAAGTGAGTTGAAGGCCAGCTTGAACTGCATAGCAAAACCTTATCTCAAAAAAAGACAAAAAGTCAAAAGCAAAAACAAAACAACAAAAACCAAACCAAAACAAAAATCAAACCAAACCAAAAACAGACAAACAAACCAAAAATGAAAACAACAAAGTGGGATGCATTGGTGACAAGGGGATTATACCAAACTGAGTTTGGGGACAATTGGGAGGTCATGTTCTCATGATTTCCTAGAGGCTGTGATGCCTACACAGGGTCTATGGCAAAGTGATGGGTCAGGATGTTATGCTGCAGGCTGAGATATTTGTCCTTTTTTGTGGTTTAGGTAAGGGGGCAGTGAATGGTCTGGTATGTTTGATAAGCTCACATGCCCAGTATCTCTGATATGGTCTGACAAGCCCAGCTGTCTATGTCTCTGATTTCCAAAGTTCAAAGGCAGTAATATTTTACTAACACGAATATGTGGTTTTTTATTTCATGCCTTACAGTTGTGCTGGGCAGATGGTGGCTTTTTACTTGCATAAGCAAAACACCAAGTCATGGAGCTTTAGTACTTATACTCAAAAAATAACTCAGAAGGCTTGCTATGAGTTTGAGGCCAGCCTGGGTTACATTGTAAATTCAAGGCCAGCCTGGAATATTCAGTGAGACCCTCTCTGTCTCTCTCAAAACAAAGAAACCTCCCCCCAAAAAACCGCACCAAAAGAAGCAAAAGTTAGTGCTAAAGTTTAGTTGAAACCATCTAATAAGTTAACTTGTTCTTAGAAAACTTGCTTCCTGGGGCTGAGGGTTTAGCTCAGCAGCATAAGCTCCTGCCTTGCAAGCAGGCAGTCGTGAGTTCGATCCCTGGTACCGATAAAAACACACACACACACACACACACACACACACACAAAAAAAAAAACAAAAAAAAACTTGCTTCCTTTGCTTTTGCCCAGTATTCATAAATCTACAGTATATCTGTACTTGAGTGATTAAGATCTTAACTGCTAGAGTCAGCTGTTCCAGGAAAAAGGAATGACAGAAATATCAATCATAAGACTTCAGTACTCTAGAGGTTAACAGAACCCAGGACATCTGGTGACCTTCAGATAACATCAGAATGTGCATCAAAGAAATGGACCACTGTAGTATCAATGATTCCTCTGAGGGCTGTCAGTGGCTAAGAACACACTTCCTTAAATTTCCCATACAAGCTCTTGCTTCAAGTCTTAGCTATGATGATCCTTACAGTGATAGGCTAGTCACTGTCCAATCAGTTGGCTCACTGTGATAAAGTTCTTTCTCTACCATTTGCCTTACCCCATGGCTATTTGGTCACCACTGAGTAACAGCACATCAACCACTTGCACAGTAACTAAGAGAATCAGGGCAATAGTATCTAAATCTAAAGATCAGCCTAGGTCGCAAAGTAATCATTAACCAGGCATGATGGCACATGCTTGTAATCCTAGCACCCAGAAGGCTGAGGCAGGAGGCCAGCCTGGATTCCATAGTGAGTTCAAGGCCAGCCTAGACCACAGAGAAAGACTCTGCTTTTAAAAAGTTATTAATTTTCTCTCGTTTTCTTTCCTTCTCCTTCCTTCTTTCCTTCCTTCCGTCTTTCTTTCTTTCTTTCTTTCTTTCTTTCTTTCTTTCTTTCTTTCTTTCTTTCTTTCTTTCTTTCTTTCCTTTCTTCCTTCCTTCCTTCCTTTCCTTCCTTTCTTTCTCTTTCTAATTGAAAGAAAATAAGGCACCTGAATGGACAGAAGAGGCCCTTAGCCAACTGACAAGAAGTATGGTTAGGTTCCCAGGAGGGACCCCAGGTCAATGGGAAAAAGTTGCCCACGAATTGGGTCGATCTGTGACAACCAAAGCCAAGCAACTGAAGGATCCTGTTACCCACTCCCCATGGTCAGGCTCTCTGAACTCAGGTCCTCTGCCCAGACCCCCAGGCCGGCGAAGGCAGCAGTGGCCCTACCCGACGACATAATCACCCAGCTCCCAAGTCACCGAAGGCTGTAGGGCCCAAGTGCAGAGGTGGCCAGAGGAGGAGAAGGAGAAGGTACGTGGACGGAGGCAGAGGGACTTCGAGGAGGTGGTGGCGGCACAGGCGGAGTCCAGTGATGAGGACTAGGAGCTGTGGGAGCGGCTGTGGATGCAGGGCCAGCAGCGGCTCCTGGACCTGACCACTGACAGGATTGCCCGTTGAGTCCCTGCCAAAAAGCAAGGAGGACTGCATCGCCAGGTACCGGCTGCTGGTGGAATTGGTCCAGAGGAAGAAACAAGCGAAAAGCTGAGCACACCCGGGATGATGCCTGCCTTCATTTTCCATAAAGAATATTTGCAAAACTCTATGCAGAAACTTGCATTTTGTACCTTAGTTATCTCTATACGTCATGTGCCTTAGTAAAGAAATAAACCCATGAAAGACCTGTGAAAAAAGTTATTAATTTATGCCTTCTGCTATAACATAATAGGTAGTGCACATTACCACCTATGAACTATATTTACAGAAAAACAGGTTTGAATTTGATCAAAATATGTGACATAACTGCCAGTTTATAGGAAATCTGAAGAATTGAAGTATGTGTATGTGTACACTTGTCTGTATCATACTGATGCAAATGGCAAAATTCAGAATATGAGAAACTCTACATAAATACAAATAACCTTGATTCTTTAACATCACAAATAACAAAATGGTAAAATGGGCAGGAAATATCTGGATATGGTGACATACTCCTATAATCCCAGTACTTGGGAGCGTGGGGTTTGATGGTCACTTCAAATATGAGACTACCCTGGACTACATAATAAGACCCTGTCTCAAAAAACAGAAATAAATTAAAGATACTATTGTTAATGTTTTTAAGTTATGCTATAAGTCTGCAGGAAAAACAAATAGAACAAACAAGTATCTATAGTGGAGGATAAAATTTTCTTTGCCTACCTAAATTCCTGGCTTGGTCTTCAAAATTAATTTATAACAGATTAACAAGAAAAAGAGGCATACAATTTTGTATGATATTAAAAGTTTTACAAGGTAAGGATGACGAGTGTTTCAATTAGAGAGAGAAGAATATCCACAGAGAAATGACCAGGCTTGGAGGATTTGATATCACTGAAGAAAAAAAAAAAAAAGGTTCTTGCTTGTTTTTTTGTTTTGTGAGGCAGGCTCTTGCTTTAGTGGAAAAACCAGGACCAAATTGGATAGAAGATATACAGGCACTGAGGTGATAGTAACTCTTTATCATGCTAATGGGCTAATGGTCTGGAGAAAACTAAATTCCAAATCACCAACCCTGCCTTGGGGTTAAACAGACATATATGTTTTAAACAGAAAGTATAAAAGGCTGAGAGCAGTTTATTTTATTTATTTTACAATTGATCATATAGGCTGGGCCATATGTTGTCAGGCAGACTTGATCTGGGTTAAATTTGTAAGGTCAGGGGCTGGGGTGAGTAGGGAGAATCAGTCATTGCCCTGGACTCAGCCATTGTGTCCTTGGGGCAAGTTAGCACAACAAAATGTACTTTTGGCTGAGTTATGTCTGTCTTACAATGGCGGGATGTCAAGGCTAGCTGAGTTTTGCCGTTCTCTAATCATGAGAACAGGCTGAGCCTGCGTTTCCTTGTCCTTGAATATAGTGTCTGGCAATAAGTTTTAAAATTCCTTTTATATTGCAATGTATTTTAGGCTGATCTTGAACTCACTGGGATCTTCAACCTCCCAAGTGTTGGGATTACAAGGCATGTGCTACCATTCCTGGGTGAAGGAGAATAAATTTAAAGAGAAGTAACAGGATAAAGGAAAAGAACTTTGAGTTTTCAAGGGTGGAGCATTATAGTGAGACAAATTTATGGTAAACTAATAGTAGATAAGGGCTCATTAGTAATGTTTGTTTATGGTGATTCTTTCTTTTTGGTGCTATCTTATGTGGAGTGATAAGGTTGCTGATAGAACTGTGGGGGACCAGTGGAGGCTGTAAAGATAAGAAGTATGAAATGACCTTTATTTTGAGAATGTGGGGAGAGACACCCCCGATCCTCTAGGATGTGGCATCTCCCCCCAGGTCGGCAATCTCTCCGTGGAACACATGGAGTGGGGCATACATGTAGCTTAGGTGGGAGGTGGAACCCAAGGGGAATTAGTGATGCACAGGTAGCCCATTGGTATTCTTTTGGCAGCATAGGTAAATTCCTAGAGGTGGGGAAGATAGAGCCATAGGTAAATTCCTAGGGGTGAGGGAGATAGGAGCTCCTTGGTTCCATCTGAGGCTTTACCAGCTACAGTGTCCTGTCTGGGACAAAACTCTTTCATATCCCATCTTATGATTATTATTATGAAAAGGGGTAAGATTTCTCTCTTTACTGCTTCCTGCTGGCTGGGGGCAGTGTACAGGGGTTTAGGGGAGTCGACAGGATGATGGTTGATGCCCAGGTAGAAGCTGGTGCCAGGTGTTTTAGCCAGGACAACTTCACTGGTGAATGCACATATGTTACACTGGAAAATCAGAGACAAGATGTTATGAGGAGGCATGGCACTGTCATATTTAAGGACCCAGGTGAGGTAAAAGGGAAGGTGCCTTTGATTTAGACATGTTATTATATCAGGACCATGTTGAGGTAGAAACGTTTCCACGATAAGGCAGAATTCTGAAAATTAAACGTGGGGTTAGGAGGAGTGAAGTTATGAGAGGTGATTACTCCCACATCTGAAAGGGTAAAAGTTAAAAGGGTAGGTAGGTAAGGCTTGTCTCTGGTATGCAGGACATTGGAGTCTTTAGGAAATACTGTTAAGAGATCTGCTGTAAAAAGAATAAGAAATTAGAAACCAAATTGGATAATAAAACATGACAGCCTGAGAGTCGTGGCTGTGAGGCCTTGGTAAGGCAGAGAAGAGTAGGAAAAGGATGGCTAGATCTAGGGCTGGAAGGGCACCACTTAGCCTGAGTGATGTGAAACTAGCATGGCAGTCTACTGCAGATAACTGTTGAGGTTGCCAAGAATATCAGGTATGGGTCACTTTAACCTGGTTGTAGTCCTTGGAATGATTTGCTGTAACAGGATTTTAGCAAGTATATCAGCAGTCTCCTTGGTTGTGCGAAAGGCTTTTATGTATCCTGAAAAAGTATAAACAAAGTGAAAAGACAGAAGTTATCTGTCAGTCTGGCCCAGGGTTATCTGAGAAATTGGTGAATAAGAAAGGAAGGAGGTGGTCTTATATCACTGAGGAGAGTTTACTAGTGATAATAGTAAACTATCAGGTGTAGGATGTTGAGGCCTCCATGTGTCTAAGGGAATGAAAAGCATTTTAAGATTTAGGACTGAAGAATGAGTGGTGGAGGGAAGATCTGGCACCACTGGGTGGATTGGGAAGAAGCAGTCTGGAAGTGGCACAAAATAGGCCCTGTTTGTAAATGGCATAGGTTGACCTTTAATACCCCCAGAGATCGAGGGCTTATTATAGCAGTCTGAAAACTCAGGAAGAACTCTGTATATAATATGGCCTCCATGTCCACAAGTATAGAGAATGTCTTACCTGAGACTTTCAGTGGGACTTGGAATCTGAGACAGACACCCATAAAGTGGGCTGTTGTTGGCCCTCAGCCCTGTCAGTCTTTAGCAGCAAGTTTAAGCAGATCTGTTGGTGATGAATCTGGCAGTGTTTGCATTTCCAGTGAGGGCTGGAAGTTAGGATGGCTTACCCACTCTCTGGTGGCTAGGACAGTCCAGTAGCCCCGGGGTAAGGTCTCAAAGAATGCCAGGATGGGACACTCCGTTGCCCAGTGTCTTCTGCTGCATTTGAGGCATGGTCCATTGGGGGGGGGCAGGCAGCTCCACCTTGTGTTGGTTTACCTGTCTCAGAACTCCAAGTGTCACTGTTATCTCTGTTGCTGAAAACATGAAAAACCATATTAAGGTCTCCATGAGGTTTGAAGGTCAAGTTTTGCCTTTTTGTTTGGGATCTGGTCTATAGTAGAAGATATCTGTAAAACTAAGTAAGTATGCAGGAGTCAAATATAATCAACAGGGTATTTATACTTTTAGTAATGGCTTCTCATAAGGAGGACAGGTCCAGAGAATTTTAGAAACTGACATGTTATTTATGTCATATATATAAGTATCTCTTTATGTTATTAAAATGTCTAATGCCATCTGATTTTTAGAGGATGGCCTGTTTAATTAATTTTTTATCTTTTTACTTAGGAGACAAATCAGCTATGATGTTATTTAATATCAGTTGAATATAGTTAATTATGGCTCGGTGGAGGGCTGAGCCAGGGCAGGCAGATAGGCTGGAAAAGGTTTAAGTTTGGCTTATGCCACAGTGTTGGTTTTGCTGTTTTGCATGTATCATGTAACCCTTGTCTTGGAAAAGAGCTAGTTATAATTATTTTTTAATTTTAATTGTTAAACAGGAGATCAGTGACAATACAGTATAATACAGGCAGTAAGCTTAACACAGAACACCACTGGTGGTCCACAGCAAAAGGAATTCACAACCCAACCCTAGCTGCCAAACAGGAGATTATTGAAGGCTTTAATTGATAAACAAGATTGGTAAAATTACCAGGTGGCCACTGTCACGTTTATCAGCCAAAGTCTTGTCTATTGCCGGCTTATTTAACCTTAATTAAGTGGTTTGAGAATGTAAAAAAAAATAGCATCTCTGAGCCGAGCCGCTGAGCTGTTGTTTATCTGTGTTTGTGGTCAGTGTGCAGGCAGAGCACACCCAGCATGGGAGTAGGGCATGCAGAGTGAAGGCAGGTCAAGCACCAGGACATAGTGCTCGGAGTGGGCTGGGACTTCCCCTGGAAATGCACGCAGGGCGGTGGTGGTGGCAGTGGGCATGCAGTGCAGGGGGGGTGGGGCTGGGATGGCGCACAGGGCGGGGCCCAGTGGCACAGTGGTGGGGTGGCAGTGGTGGCGCATGGACGCGTGGTGCATGGGGGATGGAGCTGGGAGTTGGAGTTGGGGAGCAGTGTGAAGCTGGGACCTTACACGCTGGCAGACCAACGGACCGACGTGGAACTGAGCCGCCACTTGGAGCTGGAACTGCTTGAGGGGCGTGAGGATTAGGGCAAGGCATTAAAGCTGAACCCCATGTGGACCAGGAGTGCCGCATGAGAGCCGAGACACCATGGGGAGTTGGGGTGCGGCATGAAAGCTCAAAGCAGCAGTATCTGTTTGGGCTTACCTTCCCCACCTCAGTGGGGAATGGGTCAGTGCACAGCGGGTGTGGTACAGGGAGGGGAAGTGGTGAGAAGACAAAGGGACACTGGCAGGAAAGGACACACATTCCCAAAACAAAGGCTTAAAGATGGAGAGTTTTGTAAATTTGTTGTCAGTGTGATAAGCTATAAATAGGTATGGTTTTTTGAGGGGTGGACAGGAAGTGGTCCCCAAGATAAAATCTGGTGTGGGGTCTGGCCCACAGATGAGGCAACGGACCGTGGTCTACTAAGTTTAAAGTTGTCACTTTTTACTCTAGACTGATCGATATTATATGATTCCAAAACTCATAATAATTGGCCGTCACCAATATATGAGTGGATTTCACGTGGGTTTAGTAACAGCTCTGCCCGTGAGAACTTAAAAAACTCTGAGGGACGTGAGAGTCTCTCAGTGTGGACACAGGCTGGCCCAGGAAATCTCTGCCTTGAGCTATCCAAACCCAAAGGACGTGAGAGTCTCCCAGTGTAGACACAGATTGGCCCAGAAAGACCCTGCCTTGGGCTTCTAAGGACATGAGAGTGTCATTCGAACCCATGGAAAGGGAGAGAAAACCCACCTGGGGCCTGGCTCAGTGGCAATCTCTGGGGGGTTCCTTACCTGTGGTAAATTGGGTGGGTGTTGTTTGCAAACCAGCAGTGACAAGTTTACAGCTCTCGAGTGTAGAAGTGAGGAATTAATGCAGGATGTAGTCCAGTACTGGTCCTGAACAGCAGGGGACTCAAACTGGGAAAGCCCCAGGTTCGTCTGCCATTCCCAGTCAGATAACCATATGATAGAACTGTGGGGGACTGGTGGCTGAAAAAATAAGAAATATGAAATATAAATGACCTTTATTTTGAGAATGCGGGGAGTGACACCCCCGATCCCCTGGGGTGTGTCGTCTCCCCCTGGGGTCAGTGATCTCTCCATGGAACACATGGAGTGGGGGCATACATGTAGTGTAGGTTGGGGGTGGAACCTAAGGGTCATTAGTGATGCACAGGTAGCCCATTGGTATTCTTTTGGCACCATAGGTAAATTCCTAGGGGTGGGGGAGATAGAGCTCCTTGGTTCCATCTGAGGCTTTACTGGCTACAGTGCCCTGTCTGGGCCAAAACTCTTTCAGTTGCTATTCCCTTTAAGAATGAGAGGTACGTGTGTGCATGTGTATTTTGGGTGGGGGTGCTCCCCATCAGGGGACTGTGATCTGTTTCTAGGAAGATGGGATAGCAGAGCTTTTCCTTGATTGTGTTCAGTTCAAAATAATCTCTGTTAGCATGCCATAATTTGAGGTGACACATTGTGATCTCCTACCTATCTACTGGTAAAAGCTAGAGAAAGACCAAGAACTTTGTATCTCAAAGTATTTCTGGAGCAGAAACCAGTACCACATGTGGGCTCCTGCTGGCTTGGAGAAAACCAGAAAGCCTCTGTCTGTGAGTCAGCAGCATTCACAGACTGTGGAGGGAGAGAACGAGGCCCTATGGGAGGAGATTCCCACCCAGAAAGCAACGCATGCTTGGGCCGCTGCTGGCTTGGGGAGAACCAGACCCATCCCTCTCTCCATGAGTCAGTGCCATTATCAGACTGCTTTGGGAGAGAACCTGGCCCCACAGAGAGGAGAGCCCCACCCAGAAGCCATCCATTTTCATTGTTTTGTTGGGTTGGGTTTTTATTGTCTTTTGTTTTGTTTCTTTTAACTCTGATGGCATGAGAAGCTATTTAAAAGATAGCAAGACATGTTATGGGAACCATTATGTATTTATTACTGGTTTGTTTGGATGTCCTTTATTGCATTCATTATTTTGTTTTTATTATTTCTATTCTATTCTGTTCTGTTTGATTTTTTATTATGTTCAAAAGTGCTATTTGCAGCTTTTTGAAGACAACAAAGTCATTGTGTAACTAATGTTGATTTCATAAGGTTTGTAAGTCCTGTATCATTTATTCTGATCTATTTTAATTGATTTTATTCTGTTTTATTTTTGTTGGTTTTACCCTCTTTAAAATAAAAAAAAATCTAGAATTTGTTGTAAGTAATTTAGTTGGGGGCCAGGCAAGGTGATATACTTGGAAGGCTAAGGCAGGAGGATGGGATGTTTGAGGCCAGCCTTGTCTACACAGTGAATTCAAGACTGTCCTAATCCATGCTATCTTTAAAAAGGGAGGGATGGTATAACTAAGAGTATACCTGAATAATGTTATTTATGTGCTTATTCCCTTTGAAATAAGGGGCAGGTATAGGGTCCTTATAACATTATCTCCAATTTTTTTATATATTTGCATTTTTTTGGTACTGGGGATCAAACTAATGACCTCAAGCTTGCCAGGAAGATGCTTACACTGCTAAACTAAATTCCATAATATGTTTTTCTTTCTTTCTTTTCTTTCTCTCTCTCTCTCTCTCTCTCTCTCTCTCTCTCTCTCTCTCTTTCTTCCTTTCTTTTGTGATGGAGTCTTGCTATGTAGTACAGGCTGGCCTTATTTTACTATGTAGACAGGCTGACCTCAAATTCAGAGATCTTCCTGCCTCAGACTCCCAAGTCCTGGGATTATACACATGCACACCATAACTGGCTAAGATTTAAAATTTTTAAACCCAATTGCCTCAGTGCTGTTGCCATTTTTCTTTCTGCCACCATGAGTCTGCTCACTCTGAGCATATTATAGGTTTAATAACTTTGCTGCTTTGTCGATCTGTCATGTCCAATTCTTTTTGTGCCAAGAACATACTGTATTTCCCTGAAAATAAGACTGTATCTTTTATTTATTTTTGTTCCAAAAGATGCAATAGGGCTTTTCAGATGCAATATGGCTTCATTTTTTCATGTACAGCAATCTACATTTATTGAAATATGGTCATGCCATGCTCTCTTGGAACATCATCATAACCCTCCAAACCCTCAATTCCAGCCTGAACTGTGACTCTATTTTCTGTAGAACCATTGGCCCCAATTAGGACCAGCAACAGTGCTTATATGAGAACTCCTTTGTGTAGTGTGCTCCTTATGCATTGGCAACACAGCTGTCAGTGATTTTACTCTGTGAATTGTTTACTCAAGTCATGATTTCTTGCAAGATGCATTTCACAAAATTTCCATTAAATCAGATGTTCATTGAAGACTTAGGAGACAGGAGAGGCAACAAAATGATAACATCTAAGAATGATGGTTCAAAGGCCACAAATAATTGCAGGTACCATAATTCAGAAAATGCTTCTTGACACCAGCAAGCAATCCCAGTCTTGGAATGAGTACCATGTGATGGCCACTACTAGATTGGAACAGACAGTTCCCAGCCTCTCCCCATGAGGCAGCGTCATTTGCACCAGGGTTAGAGAGAAAAAAGCCACACCAGCAAGCAGGCCCAGTCTGGGAATCAGCATCACATGCAGGCTGTTGCCAGACTGGAACAGACAGATTCCAGCCACTTCTGGCACATAGTCTGGCAAATAAGAAGTACCAATCATCATCCATGCACCCCTCCACCCCCACTCCTATCCCACCCTCCCACCCCCTGCTGTAAGCAACAGGCTTATTCAGAGAAACACAGGCTGTGATGATAGCTGTGGAGGTGATATGCAATTGGGTACCTGTGGTGCTTTGGTGTTTCACTAACATTGCATATCTAGGGCCAATGGTCTGATCATAGGTTCAGAGGACAGTGGTACACAGTGTGACATCTAGGGCGATCTCCTGAAGCTTACAGCCATTGTTGATTCCCTATGGTCATGTTTTGGAAGTCCTATATCATTTCCATTGTTTTGTTGGGTTGGGCTTTATTCTCTTTTGTTTGATAATGTCAAATTTGATGACAGGAGTAGCTATTTTAAAGATAGCAAGATCTATTATGGTAGCAATTTTGGATTTACTATAGACTTGTTTTGAAGTCCTTTAATGCATTCATTGTTTTATTTTTATTGTTTATATTCTATTCAGTTCTGTTTGCGTTTTACTATGTCTAAAGTTATCTGAAGCTATTTTGAAGACATCAAAAGGCATTATGGTAATTATTGTTGAGTTTGTAATGTTTTGAAGTCCTATAATCTTTACACTGGTTTATTTTTATTGGTTTTATCCTCTTTAAAATAAAAAAGTAGAAAATGTTTCTATATTTTGCATGAGTGTTATAGGGTAGTTGTTTTAGAAATGGCTCATCTATCAAAAGTATTCCAAGTTCTTCTTGCCTCAAACAAAGAACTAAATGAGACAATCCAATAATAAACCTAAATGTTTATTTGAAAAGTTCCTGATAATTGGGAATGGTAATGCATGCCTATAATCTCAGGACTTGGAAGGTCAAGGTAGGAGGATCACCATGAGTTTGAAGGCAGCCTGGACTATGTAAACAAGTTCAAAGACATCCTGCACCACAGTGCTATGACAAGTAGAAACACTGAAATGTCACCCAGGATTTGGAGAGAGATTTATTTACACTGATGGGCACTGACCTCTAGAAAAAAATACCAGGCCCTGATATCTGTTGGTCTGGGGTTTATACAGAGTTTGAAAGCAGGAAGTGTACAGAAGCAGAGTACATGGCTATCTTTGATTGTTTCTTGTAGTATGCTTTAAGCATAGCTGTGACCAGCTATGTATCACAGTAACCAGCCATTGCTAAGAAACAGAAATAATGGAAACTGTAAAAGAAACTGTTATCTGGGTAACTAACAGAAATTAAAGCATACTAGTTGGGAGGCATTTTTGCTACATTTCTTCCCTCTTTTAGGTTCCTGGAAAATCTTTGTGGGGCATGTTATATGTGATTTTTTAAGATGAACTGGGTAATCAATTACACAAGGCCGGACTAGAAGCAGTAACATTAGAGCTGTCTGTGGCACTAGGATAGGTCCTAGCCAATGTCCCCAAGATTGGAAAGTTTTCCTACCAGGAGTTTGTGGCTTTTATTGGTTGTTTTCTACTCTCTCAGGCAACCATCCGTAGAACTAAGGTAAAAACTGCAGCTAGCAGGAGAGTGGGGAGCAAAAGTCAAGTTGGGTAATACAATATATGCACACTGAAGTGGACGCAAGCACTGGAGTAAGAAGCCTGAAAAGGCATAAAAAGCAAGGAGAATAATGCATTGAGGTGTGTGTGGAGTAATCCTGTGAAGGCTGTCCTCAGGCTTCAGCCATACATGGACTGGTCCACATCTAGAGGAACCAGAGCAGGGCTTTGAGTGCTTTGTCTCTTCAGAGTTTGGAGGAGCTGTCTGGTCCAGGTAAATTCTCCAGCAGTCAACTAGATGGTTAACTCTAGAATGGTGTATCCAAAGCTCAATATCTGAAACTTTAAAAGACTAGAGGTAGTTAGTATATGCCTGGTTTATATGTACCAGGTACATATAAACTGGGAGGTAACTGGGACTCTTGTCTCTCACCCCTTCTTCCAGGATGTACATGGGTGTCTACAGGTACAGCTGGTCATTTAGCTAAATTATATAGAGCTTGTTACAAGCTTTTCCTGTAGGGCTATACTTTTATTTCCTTAACTTTTTTAGAGCTTTATGACCTATATGTTGTATATCTACCTATATAGGTCCACTGTCATAGCAGGACTTTAAAAACTTCTGTTGTCTTTTCAGTGTGGGTAGGGAATGTCTTGGGCCAACTTGAGTAGATGCATATAAGATCTAATTCATATCTGTAGTCCTATAAGGCTTTATTTCAGTGTTAAAGGATGATGTTTCAGCCAATAGGACCTCTGAAGAGGATTAGGATTCTGAACTGGGTTTTTTTGATCACAGGTTTGGCAACATTGGTAGACAGAGAAGCAGATGCTGGCCAGGCATGGGATGATAAAACTTTTCCTTTTATG